AGTTTCTCTCTATCTACTTTAGTTTCCAAACAAAAAATGTCATTTAAGGGCAGATCTTTTATGCTAGTTATAGTTTCTTTCTACAGCTTCTGCAAAAAACAAAAAATACAATAAATTTGTAAAAACCGTCATTCAATTGATTGATTGACTGATTGATTGTTTTTCATGCCACTTTCAGTTCTCTTGGCTCTATCATGGCGACCAGCTTTTATTGCAGGAGGAATTACTTAGCATTTATATGTATTCATCCTATCAAATTTTCATTTGTAACAAAATAATGAAGTATTGCTGTACTTTTTTGTATTAGCGGTACTGATTGGATATTCAAGTAAATGAAGTTTTAAATACATATACCAATAGTAATAAATGTAGTTTAGAATATACTGTAAATTCAGAAATAAACACCATGTTTTATCTATTTGAAAAACCTGAATGAACGAGCATCCCATAATAAAAACTGGTATTAGAGGTTTTTGTTAGTAACAATTTACTATTAAAAAAACTCAATAAATTTTTGATTTTCAAAGTTTACTTAATCCGTATTGCACACACACATCACAGTAAGCTTAATGTTCTAAGATCGAAGAAGTTAAACAGTTAATAATTTGAAGTTAAACAGTAAGAATAAAACTTAAAATTTGGAAATTACAATATAATATTTCATTTACAGTCACAAACGAGTCTAACATATCAGAGCATGTGCTGGACTGCAGTGGTAAAATATAGCATAATGGGTTTTGAGACAAATACCAAATTTCACATTAAGGGCCGTGCATGAGGTCAGACAGGTAAATTTAAAAATTAATGCTGCATCCACATTTGTAGTGCATTAAAACACAATTAAATTCACAATACTCCCACTTATAATAACAAATTACAGAAGCATCAAAGGTGCATAATACTATTTTTTATTTGTTGAACCAACAATTGTATTGTGTTGAGAACTTTTTTTTTTATATCTTAATGCACATAGTAAAGTCTGCTGAAAATTCATGTTAAAAGAAGGTAATTGCTGATATTGATTTATGGCTCAATAGATAATGCTTATAATGAAACTTTTCCCATAATGTTTTTATTCATAGGCACTGAGATTGACCTTGCCCTTCCGGTCCAAAATCAAGTAGCGTCTTATTCTTTACAAAGGTAGTTTTCAATCTATTTTTGGTGGAGGTGGGACATGTGGTTCAAAAGATTTCATTTGACAACCAACATTTTGCTCCAATTTCTATACATCAATTTCTGTTTAGGTTCTTTTTCTTTCCAAGAGGCATTTTGAAGATAGATTGGTGGAGATTGGAGCACATATAGTCTAAATCTCTTTCCTCTTGCAATAGTTTAAAAACTATTTGAATTCTCTGCCCTTTACACTAGTATTCCCTTTTCTACACTTATATATATATTAAAAGAATCAAACCTACTTTATTTCATGAGAGAGAACAGTCAACGTAGATACAAATATCTTTATATCTTGTTTTAATGATAACATATCTGTAACGTTTGGAAGACGTGCTTTTAAATAAACCATCGGTATTTCTATGGTAATCAATTGTGCTTCCCTACTTGCCGACTTCCTCATTTATTCATACGTTTTACGCCGCATCAGCACAGAAAGGCTATATTGCGGCGAAACCTACATAAACGATGTCCTATCACTAAATAATTCAAGTCTGGTGACTATCATAAATTAAGGGGACAGTAGTTTACCGAAATCCAAATTTCGTAAATCGCTTACGAAGAGACAAATCATGGTAAAAACCAAAACTGAGAAAATCGCGAGAATCGGGATACCGGGTGCGTGGACATGATGGGGGGTCTCCTGCTATGCATGTATCACCGGCAACTCTGAGTCAAAATAGCACAATCTAGAATAGGACATAGTCGGTAAAATTACAGATCAGACGATAATACTGGTATCTGAAGATCTAAGAACATGTCGCTTGCGAGTTGAGACACCGACACATCGTATTGGTCAACCAGTTCGTGATGGTGACCTTAAACTAATAAAGTGTCGATTTCAGTCGTTCTTATTTATAACTCAGCTGGAACAGTTCATGTGTAAAAACCACACCTGTTAACAAAGTCCGTATTGCATGAACACGCCAGAGTGAAACGTATCAACTGAGATATGTAAACGCCATACGATGAAGCCCAGGGTATGTTACTTCTGAGAATTGGGAAGTTGACAATTGGTAAATTGAAATCATCACATTTGTCATAGATTTTAGTTCTAAGTCCTCCATATGTCAATATGGAGGAAAATATCAAGATATGAAATAGACCTTCTTCCTTAGGTAGTATTCTAATCTCAAATTCACTATGATATATAAGATGTAAACACTCATTGAAATGTAGGTTATTGAGTGACAGGACATCATCAATATATCTGAAAGTGAAAGTAAAGAATTGGCAAGATGCTTTTCCTTTTTGTCTTTGAGAAGATTCTTTGGGAATATGTTGTCAATCAAAAAGTCCAGCAATACGATGATGTTATCATAAATAAATGCTTACATGTATTATGTATTCTGCGCTTTCTGCATCAAAAATTAAACTTTGATGGTAGTAGATCTTAGTTCATATTAAAAACACGAACATATACGTTTACAAAAATATTCATTTTTAATGAACAGAGAAAATTGAAATAAAAAATTCAGAAACGAAACCCACCTCAGACCCCAGTGAACATTTTGTTTTATGTTTCCAGTCTTTTATTTATATTTTTTAAAGTAATAGGCAAACGTTCTAAACTTTGTCAAAATCGTCGTTTTAGAACAATTCTGGTATCTTTCGTCCCTCTTTTACACTGATATGGAGTCGATTAATGGTTTCAGCCATTTGACATTTGTATCTATCTTTAATATCTGACCATTCTTACTATCTACATTTTTTTTTCAAGATAGTATACAAAATGCAACAAAATGTTAATGCTATGTGTAAAATTAAAGTTCTCATGATAGTATTTTAATCGAAGTATTAACTTGAAAACTACAAATGATTGACACAAACCGGTGTACAGCAATACAAAATCTAATATTTTGATTTTTCAAGGTGTTCCTAAAAGTCACAAGCATTATACACTAACCACTACCAATTTTTAACAACTCGGTTTACTAATTTTTGTCACACACATTTTCTACATAGTTGAATAATTTTTTTTGATAATATATTTTTCCAGATTTAAATCTAAAAAGGAAATATATTTACAAACATGATTATCTGTTGTTTTTTTTTAAATATTTTTGAATAATCATTAATTTAGGTCGTTTGCATTATTTCACATAGATGAATGGTAATCTTTACCGGTTTGCATTAAATAATGTGCTAATATTTGCTGCATGTCATTGAATTTGTTTGTAGTTTTCCCTTATTTTGTCTACGTTAATATACGGAGTCTTGGTGAGTTCGTCTGACATATACAGCCAGTATTGATTGAATTGAAATTGACATCCTTTTCTTTAAAATTGGTCGTATATCAGCATTTAAACTTATTTTCACTTAACAAGTATAGCCTATTTATCTCTCAGTTAGTATTTGTTTGAGAAAACAGTAAATTATTATAAAGGTATTTGTCTCTATCAATACTAATTAAAAGAACGTTTTCTCGAGATTTTTTAATCACTAGCGTCCTTTAAGAGAACGTTAGTACAAATCATTCAAAAGTTGCAGTTTGACGGGTGTTAAATATTCTTTAATGTTTTCCTGCAGTTAAATGTTCTCTAATATACTACAGCATTTATCTTTGATCTCAAATTTGATTAAGTTTGATATTTGATAAGCAGAACATAGTTTTTAAGTAAAGTAGTACATGTCTATATAGTTTATACCTTTAAAATCATGTGTCATAAATTGACATTTGTATTAAAATCATTCGAATGGATTTAATATTCACACAAAATCAGCTACATTGAATTGTAAAGCGATGCTTCAAATATATTTCTGACAGATTTTAAAGTCCAGTTTGTAGTATCGAAGTCTTTTGTGTGTCTTTTTTATAACCATTTTCAAGTTCTTTTGCCAAATATTTAGGTTGACAATCAGATATGCAACCAATTACAAAGGAATAAAATTGAGAATGGAAATGGGGAATGTGTCAAAGAGACCACAACCCGACCAAAGAGCAGAAAACAGCCCAGGGCCACCAATGGGTCTTCAACACAGAGAGAAAATTCCGCACCCGGATGCTGGATTCAGCTGGCCCCTAAACAAAAAAATGTACTAGTTCAGTGAAAATGGACGTCATACTTAACTCCGAAACATATAAATGGACTAAAAAGAGAACATGTGTTATTAAACATTAAAGAATTCATAAGAAGTATTGGATTCGTAAATGATAATCAACGCGCGACGAAGCGTTACCAACTTCTGGTATAACGACTGTCTATTTTACGTTTAAACAATAAATCAAAGGAATTCCACTAAAATAATTTCATATTTTCTCTATTTTATTTTTCAATAGTTAGAAATGATTGTTTCCACTCGATTCACATCTATATTTAGGCTTCCGACAAGTTAACAAAAGTTAAATATAACGTAAACTTTTATACATCTGTTACCGGTTGATTCTGCAATTGTTCCGAGAGTATATTCAATCATAGCTGTTAGACATGTTGTTTAACCAAGATTAAGGCAATTGTTGGCTATTATATAACCAAAACTAATTATTGTAACCTGAAAAATCAATTGTGCTTTAGTCTCCGATGTATATTTTTTTAAAACCAATCGCCGATAGCTGTGATCGTACAGTCGTTGTTTACGAAAGTTAGAACGATAATTATATATGATATGGAGTTCGAACCTTGTATCTGGAATGATTATATTTCTTTGTTTCTTCTCGTTGTATATGTTTTGTTGTTCTTAATGTTTGTATTGCTTTATTTTCATAGTTAAATTCTGTTGTATTGATGTTAGATACAGAAATGTCGAATGTTGAACATTATATTCCATGGGTTAGGGTACCAAAACCACCCCAATAAAATGCCATCAAAAATGAAAACAATAAAATTAAAAAAAAACTAGTAGTCATTATACATAGTGGTAAAAGCGAAAGACGTTCAGTGTCAATTAAACAGCAGCTACATAATTTGTGTGCATATGCATGGACAATAGTCCATTAAGTCATATAAAGTACTTTAAGAATATAAAGTATTAGTAATTATATATCAGCGATCGTAGTCGAGTGCACGGACCAAAGACTATTGTGATTATTGAAGAAAATGCTCGCAAGTTCGAACCACAAATGTGTTGTCCTTTTTTGGGAGGTAAACAGTTAATAAGTTAAAGTTAAACAGTTAATAATTTGAAGTTAAACAGTTAATAATTTGAAGTTAAACAGTTAGAATAAAAGTTAATGTCGGTTGACAATGGATTCTTGAAAAAAAATCTACTGTTAGAACAATAGACTGACGTCACCGAAATGTGTTAAGACAAAATAAGGCATACGTTTTCGAAAGCTTCCATCCGATAGTATTGTTATTTTCTATGGCAATGAATATCACTTTCTGTACAGTTGAAGTTTACACCATCGAGCAAAATGACTTGAATCATTTGAAAAATGATCATAACGCTTTTCGCCGAGCTTACTTCGAGCCCTTTCCACCACCTCCTCTGGATCGTAGACAGTATAATCAGTCTTGGAGAAGTCAGTTACTTTTACACTTCCATCGAACGGAATTCTTAATGTTTCCTCCCGAATTTTTCTATCTCTATGTAAACCACGAAATGCATAATGAGCTATTTTACACTGTAGTGACCTGTCATGTGATTCGATTTCAAGTACAACAGCAGAATGCCAACATCTGTAATAGGTGTATGTAATTATATCACCAATCGTTACGTCCCCTTTTGATTTGATCGGTTGTTTTGCGACACTTAATAATTTTCGATTTCTCTCGAAACACGGTGCACAAAGCATTCCTTTTTCACATTCGATTTTATTTCGAAGAACTTCGTCGCCGATACCTTGAAATCCTTGATTTGCAAAAAGTCGCTTTACCATTCGTATCTTTCGAATTTGTAAGCTAAGACTCTCTCCTGTAACGCACCATGTTGTAAAATGCTCGCAGTTATTATTCAGCAAGTTGTATTTGAAATTAGGATTTGATTTCGTTGTGACTGCTCTACTGACAATCTCTTTGGGCGAAAAATGTTCAATTGTATCCGAATATTTATACACCATGACTTTCATCTTTTTAAAATTTATTCGTTTCGTTTCTCTTAACAGTTTTGCTTTGTTACCAAAGGGTCGCATACAATTATATATTGCACCAGATGTCGTGTTTGATGCATGCACCAATTCTACGACTGCTTTATGATCTTTTTCATTTGAAGCTTTTACATCCACAACTATTGCATGGTGATCATATATTCGTCCATAGAATTTGATGTGATCCCCTATTTTTATTTCTTCTCTTGTGAAAATCTGAATCGGCTTTACACATTCAAGGCATGCCACAGGTTTCGCCTCTTGTTTTTTTCTACCAACAAGATCATCGTAGTTGTCTGTAATGTTTTCTATTTTGTTAGAATCGTCAATTTCGGGATATTCTGTAATTGCATCCTCTTCAGGTTTCTTCATAAAATTAGAAGGTTTTTCTGATACGTTACGTGATTGCATTGTTAAAACTTTGACCGTTCCTTCAGATGGAGATCGTTGTTGGTTACTGTGTCTGATTGCATAATCATTCCCAGTCCATTTTCTTTTGAACTTGTCCTTTTTACTCTTCCTGAAAAAGAAAAATGCAATAACCTCGATCTCTAATTACGTGATTAAATGGACTTTAGGAATAAAACCACTAATTCATAGTCCATTGCTTTCTTTCGTCAATTCTGCAGTTTCAAGCATTAACGGTTACCTTGTCTTAAATACAAATAAAATAGGTAGGCATTTCATGTCAAAACTATACCTTATCCTGACTTGTGCTGAAAATTCAACATACCTTCAAATGCATATTAGAGCGCAATTGTTCCCGGAAGTTTGGTAGTACAAAAACAGGTGCTTCTGTCCTGAACAACAAATGTGCCCTCCTATTGTAATTTCATATATTTTTTTATTATTCTAAAGAAACTTCCAACAAGGGTTCTACAGTGATCCCAAGTCCTTAAGATTTAATTTAATACTAAAATTACCCAAATACTTTACTTATTGACAAAGTTACAGCTATGCGTAGGAACTATTTTGTTTAAAATGTGTACTACTTTCTTGAATGTTCTTTCTGACCGCGTCCGAATTATTGGATCTATATCTTTTTGATAAGATGCTCGATGCTTTTTTATACAGCAGTTACAAAGCAGACAAACAAACCAACTAGAAAGGAAAACCAATACAGAAAATTGAATCTTACCACATTTTTTCAAACTGTAGCACACTTAAATAATCTTCGTGTCTACTGGTACATGTCTCAACTTGAATTACGTCAGTTACCCAGGTAAATTGTCATATATTTAAAATATTTTTAAATATGTGCTTAACAGGTGAAAAAAAGTGCAGTTATATATATTTTTGTTGATATTATACATTTATTGTTTTCCTAATGATCTGTAAATAACAGTTTGGTATAGGCCATAAGCTAGTAAAAAGTAGCATAGCAAAAATACCAAACTCAAAGGAAAATTCAAAACGGAAAGTTTTTTATCAAATGGCAAATTCAAAATCTCAAACACACCAAACGAATTGAAAACAACTGTCATATTCCTGACTTGGTACAGGCATTTCCTTATGTAGAAAACGGTGGATTAAACCAGGTTATGTAGCTAACTAAACCTCTCCCTAGTAAACCCCTAGTATTAAAGTCTGTCCAAAGTATCGTATTAGACGTTCAGTTGTCCTGGTCGCACTTAAATTTATACCTCTCTTGATATATATATGGTGTGAGTGTTCTGATGTTTTTTTTTTTGCACAATTTATCAATATCAGCATGATCATTATCATTAATCTATTTTGAGGTAAAACACAAACATGGTTCCCAAGTTCTTTTTACGGTATTGCTTTCTTTGAAAAGAAAAGATTTTAAATGTCTTAAAATAACATATGTTTTGAAATTACTAAAACATAATGATTATTAAAAGTGAATGCAGGGTATAAATTGACTTTCGCTTTTCATTGAGATTCAAATCTTAGCCTAAGCAGGTGAATTTTTTTCATGTTCGTATTTGTTCAATGTTTTAATTAATTAAATTTTACGTTTAAAAGACCAATACCTTTCATGAAGTTTTTTTGGTATGTGTGATATGGCATTTTAGAAAAATGCATTGAGTAAATACCACACACCAATGTTAAAAAGTATAAAGGCTAACATATTCAAGTCGATGATAATAAAATAGAGCATTCATCTTTCAAAGCATAACTTTCATTTGGAAATTGTTTTGACAGTATAAATAAAATTATGTGAAGACAATGTCTTTTCTCAATAGAAAATTGTATTTCGTAGTTTAGGTTTAATTTCCCAACCCTTTACATAATTATTCACATTCTAAACTTAAAGAATAGATTAAAATGATTAGTCAAACTTTTTTTACCAATGTAAGTGCAAGTATATTGTTAAAGGAAGGGACTTATACTTTGTAATAAAAAAAGAAAAAAAAAAAAAAACTCACACGGGAACAAGAATTTTTATAATAGACAACAACAATATTTCTGATCTTTTATTAACATATTTGATATGTCTGGTGGACGTGTTTTTAAACAAACAGCTGTGCTTACTGCAACTTTGTGATGAAGAACAGCAATACAAATGATGCTGTAAAAAAAGTTTCCTTGAGCTTGAGATGTACGCTCTTCTATTTCTACAGTAGTTATGGCCTATTGTGTCTTGAGATAACTTCTTACTAAATGTGTGATGCTTCTTCTTTCTTCCTTTTTGCCATTTTGTTTTTTATTATAGATCTTGTTATGCAGGCCTCCGAAATTGTATGCCTTTTTTTCTACATAATTTCCTGCCAACTTATCTTACATATATCTTAAAGTGTCCTTTGATTGTTTAACTGTCTTTATTGTTTCTGCATCGGTGACGTAGCGTCTATTTATGAAGGTGTGGATGGGTCCTTCATTTAATTAATCTTTACTTTTTAGGTCATTTTTCTCTATTCTTAATATTTTTTGCGCATTATTTTCTATTCATCACATTTTTCTCTACTTTTAAATGTTTTGCCCTTATTTTCTCTATTCTTTATTTTTTGGTAAATTTTTCGGTATATTTGATACATCATTATCTTTTCTGTAAATCCCATCTAGACCCACATTAATTCTATGAAACTAATCACTACCTATATATATATATATAGGAAAGATAAAGAGAGAAAGTCGAAATGTACAATTTAGCAGTTAGAAGTATAGGATGGTTTTCAACATTTTACTACTCTACTTTTAATACAATTATACATTTTTCTAAGCATATACCCTTATAACAATTATACATTCTTCTAAGCATTAAAAAGATTGAAAGGATAAGTCCATCTTTATCATATAAAAGAATCAGAAGATATTCATATATGCAAGTATCGTGTTTAAGGAAGGGGCTGAATTTTTTTTTTAAATCCCACACTCAAACAGGAAGTTCTTTGAAACTGAAATCATCAATTGCCAGATGCCCTATTCTTTATTGACAACTCGTTTTGATACATTTGCTGAATGTGTTATTCAACATTTGGCATTCCCATGGGATCCAACTGTGCGTCTTTTCTTACCAACTTGTTCTTTTATTCTTTTGAATAAGTCGCCATACAAATACTTTTTAAGAAGAACTAAACTAAACGAAAAGAGATTTTGTCATTGTAATCTTTTTATTTTTATGTAGATTTTTTTTCAGTGTCTGAGTAATAAAAATGTTACAATCAAGTGGAAGAAGATTGCAATAAGATTATATTTCTCTTTGAAAGTTTTTGTGATGGGAAACCGATCTCCTGATGGGGGTTGGGTATGTTTGGAGGATTTCTTGAGGACAAACTGTTCATTTTCTTCATCTGTTGCCATGCCAGAAGCTTTAGAGAAAACTTTCTAATAGTCGTATAACATATAACTTCGCATATTTTATTTCGCTATTCTACAAGCATAACAAAAAATATAATTAGACGGTCAAGCACGTGCAATCGTATAATGACGATTTTTCTACGTCTGTTTGATTTCATGTTAAAGATTAAAAGTATATGTATATTATCGTTTTATTTATATAAGAATATCATTTTGCGGGCTGGATCAGTCAAAAAAATTATTATTTCTGGCGTCTCCCTTGTTTCACTTTTCAATGTAGACATTCTTTATGACCACATGCTGAACACCTTCGTACCCCCATCTCCACTAGCGGTGCAAGCAATTTGTAGTTTCTTTTAGCTTATTTTAACGAAATTGAACCAAATTGTCTGCTAATAGCTAAATATTATTTCTATATTCTGTTTTTATGAATGGTTGAAACAAAAACAAAATTATATTTTATATATTTTATCTAATTCGTAACTAATATCCCTTCAAATGCATAAAATGGGATATACCAACATCTGTTTGAGGTCTGTATTATTGTTCATATAAGGATATTTTTTACAATGCTAAGAGAACATTAAATAGAAACTTTTTTTTCAAAACTGACAGTATTAATTTTTCTATGAAAAGGTCGATTAAGCATTGCCGCCACATTCTGGACTGAATCAGGTATTAATGAAATCTAATCTTTATTTATTAGATTCATTTATTGTATTACTTATCAAAACTCTGCAAGCCTAATTCTTTCAAATTGCTATCATTGATATACAGGTAAAAATTATACAAATAATGTCTTAAACTAATAACTTTTGTTGAATGCATTATTTTGAGTTGTACTTTCAGTCATTCAAAGTATATGTTTAAAAGTGAGAACTAAACCTAAGCTCTCTTTTTTTGTCTTTAATTGTCACATAAATAATATTGAAACATAATTAATACAAACTTCACACTTATGAGAAAACAACAAATGTTATGATATGAACCAATTCATATCATAACTTTACTGCAACATATTTTAGACTGAAATGGATATCTTAAATCTTTAAATGCACTACAGTTTTAATTGTGTTTTCAAATAAAAGTTACTTCCTTTAAAGTTCAAATGAACTTTTTCAATTTGATCTTATAAGCTCAATGTTATATATGAGTGTTTTTTTTTAACCGACAACTTTTTAACATGCAAATAAAACAATAACAAGGAACTATTTGTAGGTAAAAAAGGAAAAACTTTCTTTATGTTGTTCTTGTCATTGTTTGCAACAGGAATATATTAAGACAAATACAATAATGTTTTAAAATTTGTAAAAATAAAAGTCGTGTGTACCTTTTCACATGAAAACAACGAAAATGCCATCGATTTTCAGTGTCTTTATCGAATTTTTCTTTAATGACTAATATGAAGATAATTGATCTAAAATCCCCATAGCTAAAATGAAAATGCATTAATAAAGGCAACAGTAGTATACAGCTGCTCAATAGTCACAAATCGACCAAGCGAAAACAAATCCGGGTCACAAACCAAAACCGAGGGAAAAACATCAACTACAAGAGGAAAACAACGGAACAACAGAAACACCGAACTGCCACAAAAACAAACGCCAACACACACAGAAACGTACCATTTGACATCAGCTGCCACACTCCCGACCTGGCACAGGACATCCCAAGAAAAAAATGGTGGGCCGAACCTTGCCCCATGGTTAGCCAAACCTCCCGCCCATATGTCAATGTCTAAAACACCGCTAAAATGACAACAGTACGCGACAGGAACACAGCACAAACAAACGCAAGAAGGCCCAGGACAGAGAAACACACAAACAAATAATATAACAGTACATTACAACATGCAAACCACAGAACAACAACGGACAACTCCCATTTATATACGACAGTATCCCAGTAAACCACAATACAACCATGAACTGTGCGTCACACGAATGTATCAACGCCACAAAAAGTGATGTCACAGGTAAATTTCTAAAAATAGAATAAAAAATTGGAATTAAATTTGTAATGGTGTTAATCTATGTAAACCCTGCCCTAATTTCAATGCTTATAATATGAAAGATTTTTTACAAATATTTAGCAAAAACATGTAAGGGACTTATCATTTTTTATCTGGGAGGGAAGGGGCTGGTCAAAATGCAGGGGGGATCAAGTTTTTTTCTGTATGTGGAAAAGGGGGGTTCAAATTTTTTATAAATTCAAAGTGGGGGGATCAATATTTTTTGCACATGGAAATTAGGAGTTCATATGCTTCAAGAGACAAAATGTCAAGAAGAACATTATAAAAACAGTCAAATCGAAAATATATCTTTAACACCATTCATATACAATTAAGTAAGACATCACAAGACTTTGGTGATGTAGGAAGCTGCCATTTTGTGTCATTTTGTCCCATATAATATGCATAGGTGCTTCATAATCCGAATTATTCAGTCGTTATAT